CCCAACCCCGTCTCCTGCCCTCCCCTCCCCTCACTTTCTGCCTTCCCTCCCTCACTCTCTGTTTTTTCCATTCAAATCACTCTATTTGATCGACTGCTCTGTGCCTGTCCTTTCAGAGTATCTGATTAAGTGAGCTCAGGCTCATGAAAGTTTATAAATCTCAGATTTAGTTAGTCTGTAAAGTACATCTCTACCCTGCCTTCTACCTGATATAGGTAAGCACTGCAGAATCAGGCCTTTAACCTGTAGGCTCTTTAGTGGATGCATTACTGACCTACTTGAAGTCAATGCGAGTTTTGTCATTGATTTCACGGGAGCTCAGATATCACTTAGTGTCCTTTATTTGGCTGCAAAATGCCATGTACATCAACAGCATTTCATAAATCATTGGCATCTAGCAGTCTGTAGGCCATCTCATTTCACTTCTGTGAGATGATTGACAATTTGTTGTATTCAATATGATCTTTTGCAGATTATCAAGATAACTCTCATCGTAACACTTTGGATGCAGTAGCATTAGAACAAACAAATGTAAATTTGGAAACTGATGTGGCTTCTGAAACATTGGAAATTAACAGACCATTAATACTGGTGTTACCAACAAGAATACCATGTGAGGTAAGACCTTTAAATAACAAACGCTTACAGATAAATGACAGTTTTCTGCCCCTTCCACTGCTATAAACACTTGCACAGACATCAGTTCTGTGGTGTAGATCACAGGAAAGGAGTACAAATGATAGCATATCTTGGCTGCAGTGGGATTTGTGCTGCCTATGTGTCATAAGTACTTTGTAGTAAGTAGATTGTGCAGTCAATAGATTTTCAAATAATATGGATTTTGGGACAATCCCTGCAGGAGCTTACTTCTATTAAAAATATTTGGTTGGCTATATTTCTGCCTTAATATGCTTCATGGCAGCTTAAAGGACTTCTGTAATGAGATATGACACACCTCTCAGTAAGAATCAGGTTTGGTTTGTAGGAACATATATGCATGCTTTTGGTTGCTGTTCGGCAGGTAAATTAGGGTAAAGCCAACCCTGTGTGATCTACTATAGCTGAAAATAAGGTTAAAAGCCTGCCCATAGTCATAAAAAGTAAAGAAACACATTATTTTTCTCTTATGGAAAAAATCTAGTAATATTCAGTACTCCTGAAACCAGTTTGATTCTACATCTATTACTCTAAAACTAATTCCCATTCTCTTGAAGAATATTACAGTTGGCCACTTTTCAAAAGTATATATTTGAAGATATTATTTCCAGTGGAATGGCCATTAGGGCAGCATTTGACAACGTTTTGCAGCCATGGGCCAGAACAACCCAGCTCAGGTCAAGAACTGCTCTCATTAAAACACTTCCCTCCCCTGACCCTCCCAAGCATGTGTATAGGTACTCTATGCTACCAATCCCTTGGGAGATTGAGAATATTGTAGTATAAATGATTGTGCTATAGAATTGTAACCAAAACCATGGATTTATAATAGAAGTATCCTTTCTACAGAATTATCTGTAGATTCAGAAATTCTTTAGAAAGTCTGTCATTGAATGTAAATTTTGTTGGAGTCTCCTAAGAATGAAAATAGAATAATTATTTTGCAGGGAAAAATTCTAGAAGTATTAAACTGCTTCTCTAAATAAGTAGTTTCTAGGCTGAAAGCACTCCTACATAGACTCAAGACATTCCAGGGAAAATTTTGGCTCTTAGTTTTCACTTGTTGTTTGGCTACAGAAAAATAATAAAAATTATTCTGTTGCAAAGAGCTCAGGAAGACTACAACAGGGCAGAATGTTTTTAACACTATGGATTCCTATTTAAAATCTCTGGGTTTATCATGTGAATCATGTTTGTACACTTAAAAGTGCTAAAATTGTGTGGGACCACAAGGCACCCCTAAAAGTGTCTCAAGGTACCCTGGTTAAGAATCACTGCTCTACTGAAACACAAATATTCCCTTTTGATTAAAATTTCTGGTTAAAAGAGGTAAGAAAAAACAAGCTAAATTGTCTTCTCCCCCACCAATTGTTGAGTAGCCTGGATCACCACATGGAAATAGAAAGAAAGATACTGGTTTGATAGGTTACATGCTTTTTAATGTTTTAAGAGACCAGTAACAGAATTAAAGGTAAGATTAAATTAGCTGACCTGAAGAATAACAATTACAGAAGAGTTCATAGTGAGTGATCTTTCAGGTAAACTTAGGCTTTTTTCTATTCTTAAAAGAATACTTGTTGCCCACTTGCTTTTTTCTGCTGAAAATGTAGAAATTTGCCACATATTAGTAGGCCAAAATCAAAGGTAGCATATAGTACAAAATTACAGGTCTATATGTTAGTACATGCCTGTATAAGTAAGTATAAGCTCATATCACTTGAATGCAGAGAAGGCCGAAGGATGAGGTTATAGTATGAAACACAAGTAAGAGAAAGGTCTAAGAAGCTGGTAGGTAAATTAATGTTAGACTATATCTTATCCATTCTATTTTTGTTGTTTTTCTTCTACAACCCTGCCCATAGTATTTAATGTATTTCTGTTTACTAATATTTACACTGGATTTTTGAGATATAGATGAGGCAGCTTTTAAATCTGACTCATTCTGATCTACAGATCACGGAAGTTCTCTGAAGACCAGATATACCTGTAATTAGAGGACCAGCACAAGACTCTTGCACCACTTCTGTCCCTGTTACTTGTGAGGTCAATTAGGAGGGCTTAAGTGGAAACTAAGTAGTTTAGAGATCTACAAAAGGCAAAAGTCACACTTTACAGACTGGAAATGAATGTTCATATGATCTTAGCCTTGCAGTGAAAAGAATTGCATTATATATTATTTTGGTAAACTGGGTTCAAAATATTACAATAATCCTGTCATTTTTACTTAGTGCAACACTAAAGGATAAATGCATGAAATAACTTTGCAGTTTTTATATACCAGTATTTCAGTTACAAAACTGTTGGTAAAAGAACTTTTCTCACAACTTACATTAAAGTATTTAATTTACATTTCATAGTTTTGGTGAAGGGCTAATGAGGGTGTATTTTAACTTTATAGAACCCTGGTGAAATATTCATTCTATTGAGAGATGAAATAGCTGATGAGACTGTAGAAATTGAATTCATAACAGACAACAAACGAATCAGAATACAACCAGACCTATGGAATGAGAAGGTCAGGTACATGAAAGCTCTAGGTAAGAGGAAAATTCTGTAGCTTTAAATAAATAGAAAACTTTGGTTGTGGACTCTCTTCACTTCTAATGATAAGTAGTTTCACTTCCCATCAGAGACTATTATTATTTTGTAGGTGTTTCCTGTGTATATGTTTTGCATACCAAGCATTATTTTTGTATTAATATACAGACACAAATGCTTGTGATTTATAGGAAACTGGATTTCATTAGTTTGTTTTTGTGTCGTAGAATAGCAGGTGGCAATCTTTAAAATGTCATTGATTGTTAGAAGTCTTAATAATTTTTTTTCTAGAAAATGCAGAGCTAATATTCTTTTCTTATTCCTGTATTAGGCTTAACAAGATGTTTATGTGGTGCATTTGTTTCTTTTTTGATGATCATATGCCTATCTATAGTTCTTACTGATATCTAAAAACATTATCCTTCTTTGCTGGTTTATCATGTTTTACCCCATCTCTGTATATTTCACTCTTGGCTGGCTTCTATGTTTTTCCCCAATCACTTTATCCATAGGTTTAGCAATTCTGTTTTCTTACTTTGCCTGGAGAATAATAAACAATAAGACAACATTTTGCTTTTAAGAGCTCCAGAATGCACAGGTAATGGCCACGCCTACACCCAATTATTGAACTAGAGCTGCCAGCTAAAACATTGCTTTGCAAATTTTCAGCTAGGTATTCAGAGCTTGGTTTACCTCTCCATTGCATGATGTAAATTCCCAAAGGGAATTATATAATATTTTAAAACTATTGCAGCATCACATCAGACAAGAGAAGGATAATCATTTAGACTATGGTTTTCCAGCTTGACTGCCCTGAGTTCAGCCTAAGTACGCAGCCTGGTTTTTCATGTTGCATACTGGTAAATCCAATGATTCCCTTCTAGGCATATGGGATACGTGGCAGTTTCTCCTCACTCCCAGTGGAGATGCACAAGCAGCTTCTTTTTGCTGTAGGGTTCTCAGATCAGCTCCTGCAGGAGTTTTGATCTCTCTTTAAGAAGGTGACTGCAATTAGTGACTTCATTCCTATTACTATAAAGGAGACACTATTCCTTTCCCCTCTTACTGGAGACCATAGATAGCCTTGATGACCTTATTAAAGTGCTACATGGACAATGTCTGGGATCATAATATGACAAAATTGTGAGACAAATGAGTAAATATTGTTATGCCCATGTTACACATTGGGAACTGATAGAAGGAAGTTAAATTATTTGCTCTGGGAGACATGGCTGATCAGCAACAACAGCTCCCAGCTGCCTTCATTCTGTGAAATGCATTCCTGACAATGGGGAATTTAAATGAGTTTGAAAGTTGCCTGATTTATTCAGATGCCTTGAAAGGTCTCCAGTACTGTCATGGCCCAGTGATGATGCAGATCAAGTATGTGCAGTTGCACCCACCATTGAATTGTGTAGTGCATACACAGTGAACTGTCTGCCACTGAAAACTCTTGTTTTGGCTGCTCCCCGACACCCTCTTTTCAAAACCCTTGATCTGCTCCTGCCTACTGAGGATGTGGGAAGTGTCCTGAACTACCATTTCTCAGCCAGAAGGGAATCTTGGTGAGGGTGGGATCTTTCAGGTTACCTGTGCTGTAAGTCCTGCTGACTCCTGAAGGACTCTTCTGCAAGTATCATTGGGTTAAGGAGGAAGGTCAGTGATACAAAACATAGAGCAAAATTGATAAGATCAGAATTTCTTCTCTCTCCCTACTTCCACAAAAAGGCTAGCTTTGCACTTCATTGAACCTTTTAACTAAAAAGTGTGCAGCATCCTGCTGAAGCCTTATAGCCATAGTTTAATGTGGAAAAACCTAAAATGCGTGAAGTTCAGAAATGGCTGTTTTTATTACATGTCTAGCTGATTCCATTTTAAAAAAGGAAAGTAGAATGGATTTGAGGTGGTTGTCATTTTAGTGAAGTAAGACACTTTTCTATTCATTTCATTTTCTTTGATTCTTTACTGCTGCTTTGTTTTTCATGTTTGCCCATTTTATTGTTGTTTTGTGGGGAGAGCTAGGATTTTAAGTAAAATGTGCTACTGCTGGTATGGTACAGCAGGATTCATGGCACAATGAATGCTACTCACTTATAAATGTGCTCATTAAGAGGGCTCATGCTGCATGCATGCATGAAGCAAGTTTTACTTAAGTAACAGACCATACAAATGTGCCTCCTTCCTTAGCTTTCTCTAGGTAAACAACTGGGATGGAAGTAATTAAACTGTAATTTCCACAATCTGGTTGAAACCCAATTTTGAGAGGGTTGTCTACAATTAAGAAAAATGATGAATAGGAAATCTGTAACTTGAAATAAAAGACTGAAATTTTGCTTAATTTGTAGGCATAAGGAAGCTAATTACAGGTCATCAATCCATCAGAGAAAAGGTTGAAATCTAAAACATAATATTTTCAGCACTTTTCTAATTTGAAACTGTACATCGCTATATTGTATAAGGATTTTTAGATATGCATTTTCTTTTGTATCTTTATGTTAAATTGAAAGATGAGGATTAAAAATATAGCATTGAGACATCTGTAGAATGCAAATCTTGATTGTGCCTTTTCTCTGGGAGGGGAAGGGGTGTTATTTCTATGTTTCTTTACTTGCAGCCTGAGACCTGCATTCTGAGATCATAATGTCTTTTGACCTACTATTTTTATTTGTGTTTTTATCAGATTTTCCTGCTGGCCTTGTAAATGTAAATGTCTACTGTGAGGGAGTCATTAAGGCTGTGATGCAGATTGAATACTACACAGCAATAGGGGAGATTGAATGCATACTTAAGAAAGTGGCTGACCCAATAGCTTTTGCTTGTCAGGTAAGTTGACCTCTGTATTGTTACAAAAAAACCCACAAATGTGCCAATATGCAATAAGTGAATTTACAGTATGCTATAAAGACTGCATGTTGATTGCATAATAATGAGCAATGGATCAATAAGCGACGGAGGAAAAGAAGTCAGTCTTTGAGAAGTCTAATGGTAACTAAATCAGACAAGTAAAATGAATCATCTCTATTTAGCTGCTATTATACTTTATGCAGTAACATCAATGTACATGATGCTTTACAGACCCAAAGAACTATGTCCTGGCTCATAGATGATAAAAATAATAATACATAATAATTAAACAATTCCTATCTGTTGCAAAAGTGTAACTGCTGAGTCTATTCCAGAAACAGGAGAAATACTCTTAAATCACAATGTCTGGGAATTGGTGGGGGGATTTAAGACTAAGAACTGGTCCCCAAAATATTATCCCTTCACAAAATAGGATTTTTCTTGGGCTGGCATTGAAAAATTTAAGCTTAGTATATATGGAAAACTCCAGCTTGCCATTCATACACCATGCAGAGCATTCATGAGGCCTGCTAGTTGCCATGCAGATCTTTGTGCGTGTGTAGAAATCAGGATTTGAATCTGGGCTGTACTCAGCCCAATAGACAGCAGTCTGAAGCCTCTGCAGTACCTGCTTTACCAGCAACATGAATAAAACAATACAAAGAGGAAAAGACAGAAATTGAAATATCATTTATCCAATAGTGGGTAGCCCAAGCACACTTGACATGATGTCTATATTGTAATTGCAAAGCAAGAACAAAAGTAATAGTCGGTGTTTGTAGACATTCTCATTTTCCTGTGACAAATTTACCTTATCTACCACCTAAGACATTACACTCATAACAAAAAGATTAATAAAAAATGATGTATTGCATTATTAGCATTCTCTTAAGCACAGTGGTATGTTCTTTCCAAATACAATGTACTTTGCACCTAGAAAAAAGACTTGCTGTACAATGGAAATAAAGTATAGCTTAGAGTGGAAGTGCATCACTTAAAATCTTTGTCATATCTATCATTCTTACAGCTGTATATTAAAGGGTATGTACAGTGAGCTTGATGTGGATTTGACATACAATTATACGTTTAAAAGAGAGGGTTTCATATTGATTTTTAAAAAGATAGCATCCCAGAAATACACTCATGTCTCTTTATGTGAATTTGTTTTGTGCAAATCTGCTTATATGCGACGGCCTTATTTATATCAGAAATTTGCTTTGTGCGAGAAAAATCCGATCTTATGTGAAGTCGGCCAGCAATGAGCTTCCTGCAGACTGGCAGAGTTCCAGCCTGCAGGGAGCTGGGAGGAAGCGGATGGAAAGTGGTGAGATGGGGCGCCATGTGCATGTACAGTACATGCAAGGTTTTTTTGGAATGCAACCCTCGCATAAAGAGAGACCCGAGTATACCATGTCTTTCTTAGACATCTGTAGGAGATTAGTTTTTATTATTTATTATTTTAACCTCCTCACTTATCCAACATGACTACAATTATGTTTGACATGTCACATTTACAAGGTAAAGTAGATAAGCACTTTTATAGACTAACTAAATAAGACATATATATAGAGCACAAGGTTTTGTGAACCCAAGTTAACTTCATCACGTGCTGTGAAAGGATGTGCAGAAAGCACATAAGAAGGAGAGAGAAATTAGAATGCAAAAAATGAGGTGGGGTAGGGGAGAGAGAGAGAGAAAGGGCAAGAGGAGTGCAGTGCTAGAAGAGAAAAGCAAATGAGCACTAAATCCATAGGAACAAAGGGGATCACAAAACCTAATCCAGATAGTAAGAATCCATAGTCCCATACTTACTGTATTGACTTGATTCTAGTTGAGGTTCTGTCCCCACATTTAACATGAGAAAAGCCCCTTGTTTTAGAGTCATGTACAAGGGCCTTGGGGGCACAGGGGGCTATTGTGGCTTGAGCTCTAGTCTCTATCTGGGGTTGGGGCTATAGCCACAGCTGATGCCTGCCCCTGCCCTCCACTGCATCTGTACTTCGCCGTGTCTCCATCCCATGCAGCTTCTGCTCCCCTGACTGCTCTCTCCCTCCCCCTCTTGCTCCATGCTGGCAGTCCACATTCTAGCTTGGGATATGGAGTATAGCACCAGTATGGCCCTGTAGCAGTGAAGTGCAGCCTACACAGCTGCTGTTGGGCCAGACTGAAGCCCTGCTTCATGCCCCAGGCTAGAATAGGGAAAGAGCCTGCCATGCAGAGCAAGGGGAAGGAGAAAATAGGGGATCAGAGGCTGGGGGAGGAGGGAGAAAGGGGAGCTGAAACTGGGGTGGGAGGGGGAGCAGAGACTGGAGGGGAGGGTAGTTGTGGGGGCAGAGGCTGCAGGGGGAGGGGAGAGAAGAGGCTGCAGGGGGAAGGGAGGGGAGAGTAGAAGCTGGGGAAAGGGAGAAAGCAGAGTGGGCAGGGCGGCAGAGGCTTGGGGAGAGGGTCAGGAGGGGAACCAGGGGTAAAAGGGAAAGCGGGAGCCTGAGGCTGCAGAGAGGGGCAGGCAAAGGACAGAGGTGGCAGTGATGAGACACGAGCAGGGGGTAAGTTGCTTCACCTCCCCATTCCATCTGCCCCCCCCCCACTACCTGCCCCCATGCAGCAGTTGAGGGGATGAATTAAGGTTGACCTCCCCCAATAATTCGATTCTATACATGGAAAATTATAATAAATTTATAAATATTCCAAGTATAGAATAGAATTAGTTGGGGGTCATCTCAAATTCTGGGTCATCTTAGATTTCAGTAAATACAGTAACCTTTCTTGTTCTGCAGTTTCCCATTCAACTGGTTTTTAAATTTTCTTTACAATATTTTTGCCTGAGAACAGCAATCCTGAGGAGTGGTCAGATAGGTTGAAGTGTTCTGTCACAGGCTTTTGTGTCTTTCTGCATCTGATGTCAAATTTGTGTTCATTCATTCTTACATGTAGCAATCACCCTGTCTGTCCGATGTAGACAGCAGAGAGGCATTGTAGGCAGGTGATGGCGCATATGATGTTTGTCAAATTGCAGGTGAATTAACTTTGGATGATGTACTTATTGTTATCAGGTCCAACGGTCATTGAATTATAGAAAATTATGGTTGGAAGGGACCTCAAGAGGTCATGTAGTCCAACCCCTTACTCAAAGCAGGACCATCCTCAAATAGATCATTTCAGCCAGGGCTTTGTCAAGCTGGAACTTTAAAACCTCCAAGGAGATTCCACCACCTCTCCAGGTAACTTGTTCCAGTGCTTCACTTTGCTCCTAGTGAGAAAGTTTGTCCTGATATCTAACCTAAACTTTTCTTGCTGCAGCTTGGAACCATTGCTCCTTGTTTTGTTACCTGCCACCACTAAGCACAGTCTAGCTCCATCCTCTTTGGAACCACCCTTCAGGTAGTTGAAGGCTGCTATTAAATCCCCCTCAGTCTTCTCTTCTCTGGACTGGACAAACCCAGTTCCCGCAGCCTCTCAAAAGTCATATGCCCCAGCCCGCTAACCATTTGATGATTTGGTCTGTATTGCTATGGGGACACAGCAGGCATTTGGATCCATTACACGGCCTGGTGCCTTGGTGAGGATGCCAGTTGGTTAGTCTTTGGTTTGAGAGAAGCCATTTGAGCTTGGAGGGGCTGTCTGTAGGCCAGGATAGGTATGTCCCCAAACACTACCTTAAGATGATCATCCTTTACCAGGAGGGGTTGGAAGTCATTCATGATTTATCTTAGGTGTTTGAGCTGGGGGTTCCAGGTGACAGCGAGTGCATCTACACAAGACACTAACTGCACAGTAGTCTAATGCTACTGTGCAGTAGTGTGCAGGGCAAAAACCAGGCTAATATGCTGTTGCACAGTAGCATTAGGCTATTGCGCAGTTAGCATCAGTAAAAGCCATGTGCTGGTCCTATTGTGCAGTAGTGCCAGTTGCTGTGCATTGATTTAGTACTCAGTTATACAAGTACTAAACTTAATGCATAGTAACTACGGTGCGTTAATGAATGTGTAGATGCACCCAGCCAGATAGATTCTGTTGTCCTTGTTCTTGTCCCAGGGCTGGTACTGTAGCAGGTCAGAGTGAGGTTCTGAATCTGGATTTCTTCATCTGAGTGACTACAGTGTTGCAGGAATCCCTGCTCCAGATCCTTAAGGTGTTCATCCCAGTTGTTGGGGTTAGAGCAGGTGTAGTTGTAACACAGAGTTGGGTGTAGATGATGGATCTAATGGTGTTCTCAATATAAAAGTAGGTGGCATGAAGATAGTTGTGGTGGTTAGTAGGTTTCTGATACAATGTGGTGGCTATGTGGCCACTGCAAACTGTCACTGCAGTGTCAAGGAAATGAATCTGCTGCGTGGAATATTTCAGAGGTAAAATAGTGAAATTTCTCTAGAGATTCCCTTCCATGTGTCCATATTATGAAGACGTAATCAATATACTTGAGGTATACAAGGGGGATGACAGGGCAGCTGTGAAGGAAGTGAACTTGAAGTTCTGTCATAAATATAGTTTCATAGTGCTTGGGGTCAGAAGGGACCTAAACAGATCATCAGGTCCATTCCAGAGCCTGGCAGCCCTAACTGTAAAGTAATCACTCCTGATGTCTAGCCTGAACCTTGTCTCTAACAATTTGTGGCCATTATTCCTAGTAACCCCGGGTGGTGCCTGAGGGAACAGAGCCTCCCCCAGTTCCTGCTGGTCCCCCCTGGTGAGTTTGTAAATGGCCACCAGATCCCCTCTCAGCCTTCTCTTGTGGAGGCTGAATAGATTCAGGCCCTTTAACCTCTCCTTGTAGGGCCTGCCCTGCTGCCCCTGACCATTTGAGTGGCCTTCCTCTGGACCCTCTCAACGCTAGCCACATCCCTCTTGAAGTGCAGTGCCCAGAACTGCATGCAGTACTCCAGCTGCGGCCTGACCAGTGCTGCATAGAGGGAAAGGATCACCTCCCTGGACCTGCTTGTGATGCATCTGTAGATGCACGACAAGGTGCAGTTGGCCTT